ACGAACGCGGCTTTCGAGATACAAGTCGACAAGATGTTACGAACCGAGTTTGCACCGAGGTTTCAAAGAGGTTTTTGCGGCCTTATCTTCCGACCCTTGGTTCAAGGCACCGACTCCGGCGAAGAGAACAACCCTGCCACGGTTAGATGGATAGACACGACGCGAACGTACGTAGACATGTGAGGGTGCACTCGCTTAATTACACCGGGGGCCTCGTGGGATGCTGAGAGGTTGAAGCGACCTTACCCTTCCTCTTCCGTCCTTTCGGCTCTCCACCTTCGACGCTCTGTTGCCCCCTCTCTCCTCCTCCTCTCTCTCTCTCTCTCTCTCTCTCTCTCTCTCTCTCTCTCTCTCGTGCGTTTCTCGGCAAGCGGATATCGCACCGTCTCTGTCGGACGTTGGACGCTTCTCACGTGATGTCTGCAACCTACCCTCCAGAATCCAGATGTATCGCATCTCCGCGCCGAGATTTCCAAACTGGCGCGTAGGTAAGCTGGTGTTGCATCTCTCTTGGGGACTCGTGGCCGGTTGCAGTCGAATGCACTGTCTGCATCGTTGAGGCGTTCTGCAAACGAACCGCAGCTCGTAATGGCGCACGAGTAATTCCCCGTATCCGACGTCGTTGCGCGCCAAACGCGCTACTCGTTTCGACCCACCTACCACCCACCCGACTCACTTGCTACCTGCCCTGTCTTATAGCGACGCATTATCTGGAAATTTCCTTTTCCCTCGTACCTCTCGCCGTGCAGTTTTTCTTTCAACATTCCACTAAAAAAAAAAAAAAAGAAAACTAGTAAAATTGTTTCCAACAATTGTCACGCGTTTACTTTACTTTTCCGAAAATGGCAGGCAAGTTTAACCAGCAAGTGGAAATGAGTTTATTCCGAGTCGAACGTTCGACTTTAAATAAAGGAAACGGGGATAGGAATAAAGGAATTTGCACAGAACGATAGGATATATGGGATAGGTGGGGCACGCCGACGACGACGACGTGACAATTACCTCGTAATCGGTGTCCCGTATCAACCCCTTACCAGCTCCATCCCATACGTTTTAACCGTCTTTGCGACGTCCGGCATTCAGCTGCATTCGCTTAATTAACAAAGTTAATTAACGAAGAGACCTTCGGTAAATGGAGCTTCGTTCGGGTGAGCGAATCAACGGGATCGAGGACATTCGTCATCCCGGCGCCTGTTAGTGGCGCGCGAAACGTGTCTACGTGGTCTAATCTCGTGCCCGTAAATAAGATAACAATTTTTCATCCCCTTTTCGAGAGAGTTTTCGACCGACCCCGATGGGGTCGCGCCCACGGAGGAGGGAATGAGAATCGAAGGGTCGCGAACGTGGCGAAGACGCGACAGCGGGAAGGGAAGAGGGAGGAGGCTGAGCCTAGATAGAAAACGGGAAAAGTTTGTAACCCTCGTTACCGGGTATCGAGTTCCAATTAGATGACGATCGCATTTCCAGCGGCGGGCCGGAAGACGTTTTTGCGTGTACCTGAGACGAACGACCGATCGCCAACTTACCTCATCCTCCCATGGGTAAATCAAACGGATACTAATTTGCCGCGTTCAGGGAATTTCCTTGATTCGACGATCGTTACACGCTCGAAGGTCGCAATCATTGCCATCGTTCCTTCATCCGCTGCCTCGTCGTTGCTTTGACGATGCATTCTGCGTTGCAACAGCGAACGTAGTTTGTGCAGGAAAAACTACTTCCACGTATCTCTACTTTTCTTAACAGTTGTAACGATTCTATTGAAAAGAAACATTGAAACTTGATTGGCGCGTGATTTTCATGTCAAGTTTTCAAAATCTTCGCTTAGATAGTTGGTTGGTTCATGCTTGGAACGACCGTTAAATTAACGCGAAAGACGTCGAAACGCACGATCCGTACTTGGGCTTCGCAGGTATGCAGGCTTTGATAAGAACGCGACGAGTGTCCATTATTTCAATAATTTAACAAGTTTCTGGCAAAAGGGTGTTCGTGTATTGGTTCACGCGAGCCGAGCTACGGACTGTTTGGTAGGCGAAACGAGCGTAACTCGATACGGAATATCGAAGTCAGCGTGGCCTCTCAAGAGGTTTCGAAAGCCACGATATGTAGCTCGCGACTCCGGAAGGAAGGAAGGAAGGAAGGAAGGAAGGAAGGAAGGAAGGAAGGAAGGTAGGTGGGTAGGTTGCAGAGAGGTTGCCAGGAAGATGGTGGTACGATAGAGAGAAAGAGAGAGCCGCTAGATGCTACGTGGGGGTGGAGGATGCACTCGAATGGGCCCCGCGACAAAGAGCAAGATCAGTGTGACTCTCAGCTTTCCCTTGGGCTCTGAACGACGCTCCCACATGGTTCTTACCTTACCACGTCGAACGGCATAGTTGCAACTTTGAAACAAGGTTATTCCGAACAAGCAAAAGAAAGGAAAAAAAAATCCACCGCACTTACACCCTTACCATTGGCATTTATGCGCATTTACTAGGCACTCGTACAACTTATTCTACACGCTCGTATTTTCTCTCAGCTGAGTTTCTGTTTTTTTTTTTTTTTTTTTTTTTTTTGTTTTTTTTTTTTTGATAACTCAACAACAACGTGGCGTTATTCGGAAAATAGTTGAAACTCGGACACATTGGAATTTCCAACTGGAGTGGCGACGCCCAAGAAGCGAGGTTAAGAAACGGTGCGAAGGCACGGATGTACGGAGGAACCGCGTGCCGACTCGCGATCGTCGATTTAACACGTTGCTGCTTATTCGAATTCTATCGGATCAAGCATGTAACGAGATTTATTCATCCGTCTGATATGCTTCTGGAGACACTGTAGGAACCTGTATTGACAGTCACTGGGGGGTTCGAATAAGTGGTACTCTCCGTGGCTGACTTGGGCCGACAGGGGTGCGACTGAGGAGAGTTTACGTCGACAGTGCACGGTAAACCCCCGGAATTGTGGCTCCCCTTGCGCCTCCAGAGACTCCGCTCCCCGAGTATTGAAAATTACATCTTACTCTGCCGTGAACCACCCACCGACTACCCTTCTACGAATCAGCTCACCGCCCGCCGCTTGCAACCGTTGCGTTGCCTCGATGCGTTTCTAATCGGCCTCCGCGTTATCGCTCGCGCCACCTTCCTTTCTTCCTTTCTTTCCTTCTTTCTCGAAAGAAAGTTGTTTCCCTCTTCTCGTCCATGAGAAGCGAAACTTGCTTCTTCATCGATGATGATCGATCAGTCTTATCGATATTCTTGCAACGCGAAAAAGAAATCGGGAAAGAAATTTATGTAAATCAGCGGGACGCTTAATTGGCGTTTATTCGCGTTGAATAAAGTGAAAGTTTTCAGCAAACGTGAAACTGCTGTGGGATGGTGGAAGGGTGGAAAGGACGCATGAGTTGTTCATGAAGCAACGTCGGTGGCGTGTAAAGGAAAATATTGAAAGTCGACTGGGCGAAAATGTCATTTTGAGAACACGTCAAGTCGACGACGGTGGCGTGAGACCGTATCAGAGAGAGAGAGAGAGAGAGAGAGAGAGAGAATGATGTTAGGGCGGGTCTCGTGAAAATATCGAAGCGAGGGAAAAAGTATAAACATTTAGACAAGTTTAAACTCCGAACTTTCTTTTCGTAACGGTACGAAGGAGAGGTTTCGATGTGAGTTGACGTTTCCAAGACTTCAATATTTGTTAAACTCAACTCCTCGTCCTTTTACCTCTCTGACATCCCTCTCTGGCTTCTCCTCTAACCGAGCGCCATCCGGCGACCCTCTTTTATAACGCATAAACTTGGCGATATAGGACCGTATACCAGTGACATATAGATTTTATATACGATTACCTCGGCAAATGCATCGTCATTTTTCTTCCGGTCCAATAAACCTAAGTGATTTTGCGACCGTATTTTCGTGGTTTCATTTCTATTGTGCTACACTTTGATGCAGCCGGCTGCTTCCGAGTCTCTCTCTCTTTCTCTCTGTATATATATATATATATATACTTTCCAATATGCTTATAGATTTACGCTAGCTGTTTGTTCGCCTACTGTTATCTCCGTTTACCCGTCGTGTGCCTTTTGATCGCAAAGTTTCCAAGTTGACTCGATCGAATCGTACGAACAACGAATGCTGGAACGACGAGAAACGATACGATACGATTGGTCAAATGTATCTACATTATAGACGTAAAACGCAAAATGGCCCAGACGCTGCGGGTCCGCGACAAAGATTTCGCTTGCAACGGGCACGCGGACGCGCTGTGTAGCGCACGTAGACTCGGAGAACGTCCGAGAGTTTCTTCGCTAGGTGGTATGACGAAGAGAATGTTGGCGACGTAACTGGAGCAGGCTGAAAGTGGCTAGAATCATCCCAAGTCCGAAGCGAAGAGCGAAGAGCGAAGAGCGAGAGGGTCGTAGAGTTGGTAATTGGCAATATGAGTGGCTGGATCCTGCAGGATGTCGGGTCAGTCGCACGCCCCTGGGAGCACCCCCTTTTCTGGGGTGGCGATGGTCCGCCACTCCACCTCTCCCTGGCCACCCACCTCCGCTTCCGACGACCGGTCTCCGCGCTCCGCGCTCCGCACTCCGCTCGAAGCAGGAATCAAATTGAGTTTCATACTCGCAGCGACTCTCACCCTGTGTACTGACCGTAAGCTCTCGTGCATTCGAGTATCGCTTCGCTTCTCTCTGATTTTACCATCGGACTCTTGCTCTCTGATCCCGGTCACCCGACCGAAGCTACGCCGCACCGTCGCCGCTACCTTTCAACCTACGCTAATTTCTCGCCAGATTCCTTTTCTTCCTCTTCCTAAAACGTTCCCCTCCATCGACCGTATTTTACTCGCTTCGTTCTGCGTTGAGGCAGGCTCTTCGCAACCTCGATTCTTCGTTGCAAAGTTGTAAAGTTGTCCAGCTGCAACTTCGGCAACTGTACGAGAATGTCGACAACGGGCATTCGAGCAGAAGTCTCTCGACGGAATGGCAAGTGTTTCTTAGCAGGTTGAGGAAACAAGGTCCGCGACGTTTACCATAGACATTGATAGTCGGCGTTGTTGTCCGTTTGTTCGGTTGAATCGAGACGAAGTGGTCGACGGGGATGAGAAAGGGGAAGGAGTAGGAGTAGGGTATGAGGACGGTAGGGGGTGGCACGAGGGGGGGTTGGTTGTGCGGCGGCGTCTGGACCGCGGATAATAGGAAGCTACCGGGGTATCTCTGCTAATCACGTTAAGTCCGGCAGACCGCTTTGTGCCCCGCGAACGAGCCACCGGCCGAAATTCCCAAGTCCGAAACTCACGACCAACACGAACGCAATCCTGTCAGCTTCTCCTCCTTCCCGTTCCCTCCTCTCTTTCTCTCCCCCATTACCCTCGCGCTGCTCACCGACCATCCGCCACCGGCCGAAACTGAAATTCAACCTCTTCCACTTCGTTTTCATCGCGCGGTACCACCTACCTCGCTAGTTCGCCGAGGGTTCGCAGCTCTTGAAAACCAATCGTCCCTGTAAATCGTCTCCTCTGATCTCGATGCGCGTGTCCTTGCTTCGTTTTCAAATTTCACGAATTGAATTTCAACTACGAGGAGTCGAACTGTCGGGAAGAGAGTCGATTGGGAACGACGATGTTGCAATTTTTTTTTTAGACGTGTATCTACGTACATGCGTATTTCTCAGAAGAAGAGAGAGAGAGAGAGAGAGAGAGAGAGAGAGAGAGAGAGAGAGAGAGAGTACACGTGATGTGAAACGTTAACGCACGTTTGACACACGAGCGTGCAAGTTTCGTTAGGTTTCGTGGTATTGGAAGGGGACTCTAGTTTACAACGTCCGACGTTGCGAGAGCGTGTCATCACTTCAGACGGGATTTGCGACTTGTGAATCTCATTAAAGCCATTGGTGCGTGCTTTTCGGTTTCCAGGGTTCGCACCGGCGACCGACGACTCCATTAAGATGACCACGTCCCCGTGATATTGCTCAGACTCGAGCCATCACCGTGCCTTCGTCGTCGTGTGCTCGCTGACTTCTCTCACTGCCGGCAAATTTCTCCTACTAAAGAGCCGGATCATACGACTCTGCTGTTTGTACGATCTCTGTATATCCGACGTGATATCGACGTCTTCGTTTGCCCGAGAACGTACGAGACGAGTTTGATTTAACTGCAGAAAAGCTGCGTATTTTGACAGACAAACTTTCTGCATCATCTCTGACGAATAAGCAAAGTGTAATTTTGACTGGATTTAAAATGTCCACCGTACTCGAACAAATTTAACATCCCTTGTAACACGTAGGCAGACGCCAGATGATGATCTTGTCGTTCGCCACATTCTCTTCAGTCTTTGCTTTGTTCCACTCGATTATACGGAGAGCAAATTTGAATAATGTCTTTTATCGGCCTACGCCCCCTTGTTATTCGCCTGGCAGACAGGAAGCTACGTGTGCGTATTTATCGTAAATATTCCAAGTGGTTTCGCTCCCGTGGGATACCGTATCGTGGTACAAGTCCCGACATTAAGAGGAGTGTGTTTTACTCAAGATTTCGCCATGTATCAAAACGAGGCGATTAAAAAGTTTTAGGAGCAATCGCGATACTGAACCAGGTAACGTAACAAGTTTTTCGATCGGTTCACCATCATATCTGCCTCGACACTTGCTTTCACGCGTATCAATTAACTTTTGCCTAAACCAGAGACTGAAAACCGAAATATTGTGAGGTTTAGGTATTATATTTGCTCCCATATTATCGTAATATAACCGCTATTTGGAAAATCGGCTTTAATACCGGTATTTTCATACGTATTTTATCGGTATTTGATGTTCACAATGGTAAAAATACCGAAATATATACCGGCACGGTACCGCTTTATTGACGAAAACACATTTTTCATTTTCTACGTGACTCTTATTAATATTCGGACATCATGCTATTCAAAACGTTGTTGTGGATTGTTTATAATAGTAAATTTGGATTAATTTTTTTTAATAATATAATAGAACATTCATTATAGTTTATAGTAACATAAATTTTATTGATTTATTGCACATACTTTTCTTAATATCAAACAATAAACTGAACTATGTCGAAATGTAGCGTGGCAAAAATATTCGGACATTTGAAGAACTACAACATTTGAACCTGAAAATTGTTAACATAAACAATAATTAATATTAGGTAGCCCTCAACTTCAATAATATATCGTAGACGCTTAGGTATATTTCTAGTAATTTTTTTTAAGTAATTTAGCGGAATATTCTTCCATTCTACGTTTAATCGTTGTTTCAACTCCTCTTTCGATTTATCGACGTACGACAATTCAGTCATTTTTCACCGAGAAAAGGGAAACACGTATCGAGAAATCGGTAATCTTTTAAAATTAATTAAGAGTATCGTGGCTGATATTGTATGGAGATACAACGACGAATTAGTATTAGAAATAATAAAGGATACGTGTCATTAAATTTACTATCGGCAGCTTTATGAAAACAATTAATCATTGTCTCCTTTTCCTTTTCTAATATATTAATATTTTATTTACCGGTATTGTACCGAAATACATCTACAGACTTAACATCGTCTTGATAGCATCATACCGCTATTCGCACCATTTCGGTTTCATCAAACGTAATCGAATAGTAACCTAAAAATACCAATTCCGTAATACCTGTTCTGAACTACGGTTAAACGGTAAAATATCTTTTGTTATAGATGTCGAATGATGTAAATTACTAATATTTCAAATTCAATGAATGTCGACCGAAAGATTGAACAAAGTGTCTTTAGTCGCTAGCGGTGTGTTTCACTGAAAGCGTATTCATCGAAAGCTTGCACAAACCGTTAAATCAAAGTGGCGAAAAAGTGTGCGAGCGGGGATGGTGCACCTTCGATTAGTTAAGAAATGCTTAGGTGCCCATCTTTTTCCGCAGGGTCGATTAAACTCTTTCACGGTGCAGGCAGTAGGATGTAAAGCGTAATTTGTAGAAGAAAGCCCGACAAAAAGGGTTGCTACCCCTTGGGCGTGGGGATAATGCGACCCTTGAGATGCCAGACCGCAGAGTGATCTACGGTTCTCTATCGCAATCTCCGTGTACTTATGTGTACAGCATAAAAGTCTCGTTGGTCAGTGAAATGTCATTCATGGGACCAAAGCAGGTTGAGGGAAAAAGAAAAAGGAAAAAGAAAAAAAAAAAAGAAAAGAAAAGAAGAAAAGGAAGAGGGGAGAGAGAGGAAAAAGAACAGCGGAGGATTTCGCAGAAGCAAAGTATGCAAATTCGGGACAAAAACCAAACCGGCACACTTGGCTTATCCGCCTGTCCGTCCGCTTGATCTAGCGTTTCCCACCCCCTTGTCCGCTTGTCCCAACCTCGTTACGTCCCTAGCTCGGACTGCCAGACCGAAAACTCATTAACGAATGCAAACGAGCTAACGTTGTGGACAAATTTAATAAAATTGTGCACGCGCAATTAGTTTCACCGAGAGTAAACACGTTCTAGCGGATCTCTCTCTCTCTTTTTCTCTCTCCTCCCCGCCCCGGAAATCCGCAACTTCTCACCCTCTCCATCGGACGCGCTGTCTGCTGGCGTATATTCTGCGTGAAACAACGCATGAGACGTCTCACTCTCGTTCGAGTTCAACGAGTGAAATGCAAAGTGAATTTGAACTTAAACTGGACGCAACTGGAAATTTTTCACGTTGCATCGAACTGGGACAAAATAACGACCGAATTAAGTAAGAAGGAGCAAGCCATCTACTCGCTCTTTGTTGAAAGTGACACTCGAGAGTTTCTTTATGTTTGCACAGGCTATTTCTATTTGATATTATTTTATTTAAAACAGCGGTTCAACTTTAATGATAACTTTTATTACAAATCTTTATCACACGAAGGTTTCTTATTTTCCAGTGGGTGTATTATATATACCAATGATGGCGAATCTATGACCCGCGGGTCAGACACTGACCCACGCGTTGATTTTTATAAACTTGTCATCATATATACAAAAGAATTTAGTTATTTTTCGAATCCCTCTTTTCAAAAAATGTTCAGAAAATTACAAGTGTTCGGTTAGAGCTTAAAAGTGAGAAATAAATGTATAATTATGTTTTATGGAGGATTTACGACTTGGTTATGTATACATACAGGTATTTCAAATCTTAAATGTTATATGAGTTAATTTTGTCCAAAAAATTTTATATTTTATATAGATTAAACAGATGTAATAAACACTAAGAAAACACACTAGATCCCATTCTCAGAGTGGGTAGCTTTGCTAGGTTTTTATATAATAAAAAAGAGAACAGACAATAAAAATATTAAGAAATATATATATATATATATATATCTAGTGCAGGGGTGATTGGGCACGATGTCACCCCTTTTATATCAATTTTTTTACGTCGACATTTATTTTTTGCTCTTCAATTGCAAAAGTAAAAGTTGTCAAACAAAAAGGAAGGACTTTTTAGAAGATTATAAAAGTGAGAACCAAAAAAAAAAAAATAATTTTTAACCATCCTCCCCTGCGCCTTTTCAAGTAACGCCACTGACTTAGTGACCCACGAGCTAGTACTAAAAAAAATAATGAACAAAATTTGACCTACTTCTCAAAAAGATTCGCCGTCGATATATACTAATTAATTACTTATGCCGTACATCATAGGTCTATGTTATCGACCCATTTACAGTTACTTCTGTTTTCACTGTTCGAATGCATTTATCTATACTTTGTAAAATCAGTTCTTTCGAAGTACGAACGGCACTATCATCCAAAAGCGGGCTTGATTTATGTGTAGATGGCCGCACGCGGGTGGAAAATCAAGTTTACGGATTACGGTGGGCATTTGAATATTACGTTTGAATATCTTGCGTGGACCAGCTGCTTTTTAGGACCATAACGCGAAACAAGCTAACAAGCTTGAAAGTGTTTTGGAAACACGAAGGGAACGGAAAATTTTCTATTTTTTTTTAGGGAGAGTTCGAACGCAACCGTTGCACTTTCGAACGACGCGAGTATTAATTGTTGAGAGGAAATTGCAAAACGCGATACCCGAACGGATCTCTCGAAGCGGCATGAATTGTTGAAGCGAGAAGCACGGAGAACTACACGCGATCTACCTTCTCTCTTCCTTGGAATTGGTCGACGAAACGGGAGAAGGGATGGAGGCAGCTAGATATTTTACCAGAGTTCAAGTAACTTTGCCACGCGTCTTTTTTCTCTCTAGTAGAGTATAGCCCGGCTCATCCCATGCGTTGCCGCCGCAAATTGAATCTTCTCGGACGACAAGGTGCTTCATTATTTAGCAGCGGCTTCCGTCGGCTATTTGCAAAATTATTGTTACGGAATTGGGGCGAGGGTGGTGTGTTCGAGCCTGGCGGAGAAACGAGTTCACGTTTTCTTTCCCGACCACCGTTTAGCTTCCCTCGTAAAGAACCGGAGTATATATTTCCACCAGCGTGCGATTTCCTTCCAAGCGAACTTTACTTCTTTCCCGTAAATTTTTCCGCGCGAATTTTCCGAATGAAATTTCTGCATTGTAGTGGCGATAAAATCTGCGACTAATGATCTCGTACGCTCGGGATTTGCAAGCGATGAAAATAAACGAGGGAAGAGCAAAATTTGAGAGAAAGAGTTTGAAGAAACTCGTTGAGAGAGAAA